TAATGTCCAATAGACATAACATTGCAATAGCTAACTTATTTCGCTTAAGGTGGCTCGACTGGATTTTTTTAGGGCGATACCTCCCAAGTTTGAGCCTTAACTACGTCGGCATGAGTAAAGATATCGAAAAAAGGTTACCACAACTGTATTACATAAAGATGAAAATTTCTTATGATCTGGGTTTTATTGCAATCGGAGTCGCCATGGCAACGTAATGACACCATTACGTTTTTCCTTTATCCTTGTGTTTCTCTGTACCAGGAGTTTTTGAAGAAATCGCTTAAGGAGTATGTACCTGCCATAATTGCCTCCATTATGGCAAAGTTTAAAGAAATTCTATGAGAGCGTTTTCGAAATATTTTGAAATGCAGTTTTAAGAATCATAAAAACAGTGAAATAGCATGCTAGCCGCTCAATTCGTTAATATATTAAGAAAATGATAAGCTTTTGGGAACGCGGCTTCACCTCATAGTGGATTGATTCCATTGAAAACTGCATACAAAAAAAAAGAGGGGTATTCTGGGCGATCGCGAGTAAGAAGGATTTTATTAACTTGCATTCAGCTGCTTTTGATACAGTTTTTGGAGATAATTTGGTCCATGCCTAAAAATTTCGCATTTTTCCAAAAACCGCTCGATAATTTTTTTTATAAATTCGACAATTCCGAGATCAATTGTTAAGAAATATTCCCTGCAAGTTTTAAGAACATTGAAAACAGGGAAGGCTTTTAAATAGGGCCTCAAATATAGCCAATTTCCTCCCCAGATTTTGTGTCTACAAGTGAGCGTCCTCATTATTCATTGGCATTGTTTTCAAGTTTCATATACACGTGCACATTTAGCAAAAAGATAGAATTTGCATCAAAAAGGACCCTCGGTTAAATCTTCGGGATATGCTAATTACCGGGTAAAGAGGTTAGTGATACAATATAACATCAGAGCAACTCTTTGTGAGAGTTTCTGTGATGTTATAACCCGAGTAAGATCATTAAGTATTGCATCCTACACGATGAGCCGAGACGTTCACCGTTTCGGCTCTCACTGCTATCTGTGACGACAAGCCAATTATTAGCATATACCGGATATTTCTTCGGAAAGTAATCGAGAGTTTTTTTTTATGCAAATTTATATTTTTTGCTAGTTGTGCACGTGCCTATGAAACTTGAAAACAATGCCAGTGAATAATGAAGACGCTCACTTGTAAACACAAAATCTGAGGGGAAAACTGGTTATGTTTGAGTCCCTATTTAAAAGCCTTCCCTGTTTTCAATGTTCTTGAAACTTGCAGGGAATATTTCTTGACAATTGATCTCGGAATTGTCGAATTTATAAAAAATCTATCGAGCGGTTTTTGGAAAAATGCGAAATTCTTAGGCATGGACCAAATTACCTCCAAAAACTGTATTAAAAGCAGCTGAATGCAAGTTAATAAAATTCTTCTTACTCGCGATCACCCAGAGCAATTCCCTTCTTTTTTTGTATGCAGTTTTCAATGGAATCAAACCACTATGAGATGAAGCCGCGTTCCCAAAGCTTATCATTTTCTTAATATATTAGCGAATTGAGCGGCTAACATGCTATTTCACTGCTTTGATGATTCTTAAAACTGCATTTCGAAATATTTCGAAAAACGCTCTCATAGAATTTTAAAACTTTGCCATAATGGAGGCAATTATGGCAGGTACATACCCCTTAAGCGATTTCTTCAAAAAAAACCTGGTACAGAGAAACACAAGGATAAATGAAAAACGTAATGGCGTCATTACGTTGCCATGGCGACCCGATTGCAATAAAACCTAGATCATAAGAAATTTTCATCTTTATGTAATACAGTTGTGGTAACCTTTTTTCGATATCTTTACTCATGCCGACGTAGTTGATGCTCAAACTTGGGAGGTATCAACCCAAAAAAATCCAGTCGGGCCACCTTAACTTCGATCGAGTCTGGCCGTAAATCATTAGTATTTCAGAATACTAGCTCGGCAGTCACATGTAACAACCCCATCCGGGACGCTTACAGCCGGTTATGCAAGCGTTCTCTGGGGCGTGTTATTACTGGAATTCGTTCGTTGCAAATTATTGCTTTTTCATCTTACTGTGCTTTTTGAAATATGACAAGTTCCCTTGAACAAAAAAAAGTACACTTGTTTTACAGGCTTACTTGAAAATTTACTTAAGCTTGACTTTCAAATTTTAATTTAGTAGTTCTGAATACACTCACATGAATTAATAGATTGCACTGTCCGGAAGCTGCCACTGCAATAGAGTTTTACAACTAAAAAACCGAAACTTACCACCCACAGTATAAGGCTGAAACGTAATGGTGCATTTACATGTAGCTACAGTGAAGTTCAGCAAAAACTTTTCTGTCGATGGCTACGTCGCGGCTCATTCGTTTGTTTTTTCTGACTGTTAACGGTCTAATTGCAAGTTTACTGGTGATTTCTATCTCAAGCTTCTGTGCTAGTGTTTTGAAACTCACACTGGTAAGTTAACACCTGCGGCTTTTAAAAAAAGGGATGCAACGTTCTAAATTAGGTATGAGAAAGGGTCAAAGGGATCCTTTTTAATGAAAGATATACGGATATATTAAAGCTGAAGTGTTGAGTGATCAATTTGCTTCAGTTTTCACAGATGAACTGAATCTACTGGTTTAACATCCCAAGTAACAGCCCTAGTATGATCGCAGAGATCCCCCCTCTGAAGTTTGAAGTTTCAGGCCCAACACGCTTGTTAAGAAACATTAACGCCAAAAGGCCTATGGTCCTGACATTATCTCTCTTCCTGGGTGGGACTTCTGTGGCAGTTAAGTTTGTTTGAATGACTTGATCGACTAATTAAAAATCCAGGCCAAACTTTTCATGAGACGAACCAAACTGAGTGATTCAAGTTAATAAGTTCGACGTTTGTCTCAGTTTAGCTACTCTGAATATTAAAGTTTGCTGGATCGCCAAACAAGTTCTTCTAGACCGCTAAAGATCGATTCTCGGAGGCAAACATGACAGACATCAAGTGAACATGTCAATAAAGTGTTTGTATTATCTGGGCCCCGGGGGTACTCCCCTACGTATCTATGTGCCACTCCAAAAGGTTTTTGTGCCGTTTTGGTCTCAAAACGGATATAGACTTTGCCCATTTTGGTCTGGAATCGGGTATGGTTTTCGAGGGAACTACGGGAGTGTACGAACGTATTTATTGTTTCAGTTCCAAATGAGTAAAAAGAAAAAAGAAATATGCCAATTCGAATGGATTGCATCGTTGCTGTTGTAATCTAAGTAATGACGACATAATTTCTTAAAGGCCAGGTCTGAATACGGGTGTGAAAAATAACATTTTTTGGTCTGAAATAAGGTCAGGATTTGGAGAACCGGGCGGCACACCCCCACCGAGAATGGGCCCAACCCTCGGGTATCTGGGTTTCCGTGAAATGCTGTTTATTCATTAAAAATTAATATATTGAGCTGTTTGTCGGAACAAAGAGAATCGTCTGTTATAAACGGGTTTCTTCAAAGCAGGCTTCCAACGACGATTTTAAAATTTTTCGCGCCCGTTATGACTTGTCAACTTAGTTCGACGCTTACCCAAATTCGACGTTGGTGGCCCAGTACTGAACTCAACTGAAGTAAGGTCGACCCAAATATTAATTTGACTCGTCTCATAAAAACGTCGACGTCTACCCCCGCCTAAATTGCAAAGACCAGCCGCGCGATTACTTAGTTTCAGAGCCAAAAACACTTAACATCCAAAATAGACAACATATTCGGTCTTTCTCCCCTTTAACTCGGTTAGGGCAGCCTTTTTAAAGTCTCTAAGACAAGTTATCTGTGCTCTCTGTTTCCGTTAGAGCCTGATAGTTTCCATCCAAATTTACAATTTTCTTTTCAGTCTCCGCGACTTTTTTTTGCGATTTGTTTCGCAACTTTTATTAATTATTTTTGACGTATTTGATAAGGTCCGAAGCCCCCCCCCCCTCCCTTCGCCCCATCCCTTCATCCGAACCTAATCTAATAACAACCCAAAATTCACTGACGAATTAAAACAAAACCAAACTAGTACGACACAGTCCACAAAATAAAAAAAAAAAACCTTTACCCTGTTTCACTGGAAGGATGAAATTTAATAGTTTTCTCGTGGAGTGTCACTCGGAATTCGAAGGATCAATGGTTTAATTGAGAACGGTCGCGTTAAGCTTCGTAAGGTTCAGGTTGAACCATAGATCGAGCTTCTCCAACCCACCCTGAAATGTTTGCATCTTTTTTGTTTATTTTTGGTTTTAAAAGCTGAAAAGTTTTCGGATATGCAACCCGCTAAGGCAGTATAATTTGGCTAGCTATAAGTGGCCGTCGATTAATTAATAATCCCTAAACTAAAGAGATGAAACGAGACATCTTAATAATTAAATACTCAGTATCAATACTGCACTAAGCAGATGGATCCAGGCCAAAAAAACTGGTTCAATCACCACTCTTTTAATTTTACCCCTATGAATGCACAATAAATATGCCCAAGCAATGGCTCATTAATTTCCCTCAGCTTCGACTGAGTCTGACCGTAAATCATTAGTATTTCAGAAAAATGAATGATCTTCAGGTTAGCAGGGACTTGTAAGGAGCCCGGCCTCGACTCTTAAGGCCGGTAACGCTGGCGTTCTCGGGGGCGTCAGTATTATTACTAGAATTCGCTCAGTGCATATGTTATTGCTTTTTCATGTTGCTGTGCTTCTTTTAAAATGAGACATTTCCCAGCTGGAACAAAAAAAGTACACTTGTTTTCCAGGAGTGCTTGATAATGAAGTTTAGCTCGACTCTTATAAATAAAATCTTTTAAGCAGTTTTATTTAGTATTTACAAAAACACTTATGAATTATAAAATTGCTTTGCTTGGAAACTGTCACCGCAAAAAAAGAGTTGAAAGACAAAAAAAAAACT